TCTGAGCACATGATAAAAGCGAGAGCACACAAGGGAGGGGTGAGGATAGGTTAGACACCTAAAAAACTAGCTAGCATTTGTTGCCCTTAGCGCAGAGAAACTAAAGCAGATACCTTAAAAGCAACTGAGGCCAATAGGAAAAGGGGAACAGGAACTAGAGAAAAGGTTAGATCAAGAAGAATTAACCTAGAAGGTAACACCCACGCACAGGAAATCAATGCGAGTCAACTCCCTGTATAGCTATCCTTATCTCAACCAGCAAAAACCCTTGTTCCTTCCTATTATTGCTTATACTCTCTCTTCAACAAAATTAGAGATAAGGGCAAAATAGCTTCTGCTGGGTATTGAGGGGGTGGAGGGAGAGGGAGGGGGAGGAGTGGGTGGTAAGGGAGGGGGTGGGGGCAGGGGGGAGAAATGACCACTGTATGCACATATGAATAATAATAATAAAAAAAAAGAAATCTGTGCCTTCAGAGGCCAAGTCTCCCCATCACCCAAAATGGCACAACATTCATAGACGTCCAGGCTATGACCCACCAAGGTCGGCCAAATCCAGGTGATTAAAAGCCAGTCAGAGTCAGGGCTACTGTGAGTCGACTAAGCCATGAGCAAGTCCAGGGCTGCCTTCCTGGACTCCCATTGTCACGGCTCATGCCAGACGTGCCCAAGGGTGACAGCAAGGTGATGAGTCACTGGGGGAACCTGGATGGTGAGATTATCGAGGAAAGGGAGATTGTTGTGAAAAGCAGTTGCTATGTCACCAGCACACACATGGCACATCTTTCGTCCTCGAGTCAGCTCTGTGACTATGCCAGCCTCCCTCTGGGCCTAGGATCACACCTGGGTAATTAGAGATGGAGACGGGAAGCCGCTGCTGGTGCGGAAGGGGGTGGTCAAGAATTAAAGTCCACCCTCAACTTCTGTGCTCATTTCTGCTTGCTGCTGTAACAAATTACCACAAAATTAGTGTCTTAAACCAGAAGTGTATTCTTTCACAGCTATAGAGGTCAGGAACTCCAGAGGTGATTCACATCCATAATCCAAACTACTTTAGAGCCAGAAATAGGAGAATCACGGTGTGAGGCCAGCCCAGCCAAAAAGTTAAGGACTCAGCCCAAAGAGCAAGCCAAGTATGGTGGGGCACACTTGTAATCTAGCTATGTGGGAGGCACAGCTAGAAGGATGGTGGTCAAGGCCAACCCCAGGCAAAAGTGAGAGACTTTTATCCAAAAATTGCTAAAGCATAAAGGACTGGAGGCGTGGTTCACATGGTAGAGCATCTGCCTAGCAAGCATGAGGTCCTAAGTTCAAACCCCAGTTCCGAAGGAAGGGAGGGAGGGAGGGTTTTTGCATGACTAAAATCAAGGCACCACTAGGGCCACCTTCTTCTGAAAACCCTAGGGAAGAATCCATTCCGTCATTCTCCTCTCCCACCTTCTGGCGGTCACTGGCAGCCCTTGGCTCCATTCTCTAGTTTCCATGATAACTTCTGCCTCATCCTGTGTCCTACCCATGAGAACTGTGGGTCCTGAGATCCTCAGCACAGGTGCAGAGCTCCTTTTGCCACAGAAGGACACTAATGGGTCCCAGAGATTATGATGCAGACACAGCTGGGTGCCATTGTTCAAGCTACCACACATCCCCGAGGCTTCCACACTCTGCCCACAGCTCCACCTGCCATAATGGTGGAGGCCACGAGACCTGGGAGGGCATCTACCTACCCAAGTCCACTTGGCCTTCTGGGTCCACCCTCCCTCCAAGCCCCCTGTGGGATCAGCCTCCTGCCCCAGCCTCCAACCTCCAGCCTCATAATCAGAAACGACATGTGAACCCATTCTGCCTCTACGTCTGCACTAACAAGACCCAGGAGGTGGGTTTGAGCCAGCTCAGATGTCACTTTACAGGGTATGTTCTGACATTGTCAAAGTCCTTGTTCCTGCACAAGAGGTCACCCCAGAGTCAGAAGATAACTCTCCCAACAAACTGAGAACTACTTAATCCAAACGTCCCCCAGGTTTCAAAACTGTCACCTCGAGGGACCTATTCCCTCTGTGAACTTGGCAGGGGGGTGATCAAAGATCCAGTCACCATCCCAGCCAGAGTCACAGAAGGTGGGAGGGACAGAGAACATAAGTGGTGTGGCGCTTCCCCAGAGGAAAGCGAGGTCGAGGCCTCTCGGGTGTGCAAGAAGCCACCTCGACGTGATTGTTGAAAGAGGTAATGACAAACTCTAAGAGCGCTTCCGGAAGAACTGGCCAGAGCCCCAGGGACCACTCTTGAGACGGCTCAGTCAGTGCTGAGATGGATCACTTACTCTCCTGAGCAAGAGAAAAAATGAAAAGCAAGTCGAAATTCAGGGGTGGCACAGGACTTGTCCTCAAGGTATTAAGAGAAAGTCCGAGAAGCTCTCCCAGACCCAGGCTGGAAGAGAGTTGGGCCGCAGCTGCTGTCTTCTGTGGGGAAGACCGAGGTCCCTGAGGAGAGGGCTGGGGTCGCAGGAAGCCTTCAGGACGCCTGGGACAGGAACAAGAGAGGCCATTCCCAGGTCGGGGGAACAGTGAGCTCCTCCAGGAAAAACAAGGGCCCACAGCCTTGTTCTGCAGGCTGTCGTGATCACGTGTGGTCAGGGAATGTAAGCTACAGCTGACTTAATAAAGAAATCTATTTCACTAATTAGCAGGACATTCTCCACTTCTTACAGTTCAGCCTCACACATCCATTAGTCAATCAGCCACCGGATGGCCTCACATATGAGTCAAGGGGAGACTCTGCAGAACACAAGCCCCATCTGAACACCAAAATCACAAGATTTCCGAGACAGGCAACTTTGTGTCAAGCCTAGGCTGAACCTGGGGGGGAGAAGTCTGTGAGACAGCCCTGGCCACCCTGCAGGAACCTCCCATGAGACATCCCACATCACCTCCTGGCCTCCGTAGCATCAACTCTCCTGAGCTCTCCTAGTGCCCCCTACAGCTCACAGCAGAAAACACAGGCACCCTGCCAGCTTCCAACCTTCAATGCTAACAAGCCTCAGAAGCAAAGAGATCTCCCTGACCTTGAACTCACTATGTGCAGACACTGTACTGTCCTACCCCACAATGGCTCAACCCCTCCACTCAAGTCTATGAGGCAGATCTTATTATTACCCCTCTCCAAAGGGTGCGGAAACTCAGGTGCGACGTAGAGATGTTTGTGTGACACAGTAACAGGGTGGGGCTGGGATTCCAACAGCGGACGTAGGGGTGGATGGAGACGGCTGCTCGGAGCTCTCCTTTTATGACCTCGGTGCACACTGCTTCCATACATGAAAACCAGCACCGCCACAGGCACACAGATGGAAAATCCAAAAGAGGTCAGTGAGTGACTCAAACTGGGCAAGCCGTGCCCTTGGACAAAGGTCAACAGGCTGCCTTGAAGTGTGTTTAAACTTTTATACGGTGGAATAAGGCAGAATGAAGCCCTGGGCCCGGGAGGCTCAGCCCGTATGGCCAGGAACAAATTTCTTATAGCCTATTTCAGACTCTCTGGTGGGACAGAAAAGACAGTCTCCATGCTTTCACCCCAACTCTACACCCTGCTGGCCAGAGAAACCCTAAAAATCATCCTGAAAATACTTGATTGTGTTCTAATGAAAGAGATCTATTCCAACAGGGTGCTGCAGAAGCACAATGATGGGTAGATGTTCCTTGCTAACCAGGAAGCCATGGGGCACTGGTTACTGGAAGCTGTGGAGTCCAGGAATCCAGGAGAGGAAAACAAGAGGCAGCGATGTCTGATTAGTTGACCTAATCAGACAACTAATCTGTCAGATTTAATAAACGTTTATTAAACAGACACACATGCCCTTAAATGCCAGGCCCTCTGCTAGATCCCCGGGGGATGCAGACCACAAAACTGTGGGTGCCTGAGAAGTCGTATCTTCAGAGAGGAGCTGCCTTGTTACACACACAGAGGACACTGGCTAGGGCTGGCAGCAACCCTCACGACGCTGTATCCACTGAAACGAGTGTCACATTTACACCTAGGGCTACACACTTCTTGGCTGAATCCAACAGCAGCAGACACATCTGTCTGGTTTTCATTGCTTTCCAAGCTAAGGAGGTTTTCTAAGAAATCTGGATGATCCAGCGATCTTGAAACAGAAAGATTTAGCAATCCGGGGCTTGCTTCCCACTTACAGTGATCAGCTGAAGTTGAGTTAAGATGGAGGGTCTATTTGGTGGCTATCACCACCACTCCCTATTGTCTCTGAGGCAGTGCTACCTACACTCTCTGATTGAGTCTGCCCAGCACTGCCTATGTGAGGCATACTTATCTGCAGGCACTGGTGGCTCACATCTGTAATCCTAGCTCTTGAGAGGCTGAGATGGGGTGGAGGAGGATCACAGTTCAAGCTCAGCCCTGGCAAAGAGTTGCTGCGACTCCTCATCTCCAAAATAACCAGAGAAAAATGGACCAGACGTGTGGCTCAAGCAGTAGAGCACCTGCTTTGCAAGTGCAAAGTCCTAGTCTCACACCACACAAAAATGAATCCCTTGCGTGATCTCCACCCTTCCAGGTTTGTAGGAAAAGACAGACCAGAGGAGTGCAAAGTAGTGGAATATGTATAGACAAAAGTAAATTCAGAGTGCAGATTTAACGGCTACACCAGGACAGAAGTCACCCCATTCCCTGTGTCCTGGTCCCTAGCAGCCCAGCCTCCATTGGGCACATGCAGACCGGCACTGTACTCTGAAAAGACAGGGTCCACCACAGCTCCAAGTCATCACTGGTGCATGGCGTACACAGTGGTACCAGGCCCTGCTCGGGCAGGATTCCAAGATGACCCAAAACATGGGCCATCCTCACTTCTAAGCCAACCAGAAACACCACAGGCTGGAGGTGAGAGAGGAGCTAGGCTGTCCGGGGTAGGATGACCACTAATCCTACACATCTCACGTGCTCCTGAATACTGTTCCTAAGTAAGGCGAGGGGACCCACATCCCCTCCCTGCCTCTTACCTGCAGAAGAGTAGGGAGCACGACCCACATCCATAGCAGTCGCCACCAGGTTCTTGTCCAGGAAGCCATGGGGTCAGATCCTCTGTCACCTGCTGCCTACAAAAGAGGACAGTGGGGGTTCGCCCAGCTCTGGCCCGAGTACAGAATCCATGACTTAAGGACCCCATCGGAGGGAAACATGCTGGAGTAGGGGCTGTGTTTGGGAAGGTCTGTGTGGGTCCAGACTGGGACTACCTAGGATGGCGCGGACAATGGGGGATCCCACAGGACAGATCCACCTCAAGGTCGAGAGCGTGGGCCTGTCTCCAGAGGACAACTCACACCTCCAGCTGTCCAGACGCCCAGACATCAGTGCACCAGCCACCTCCCAACCCGTGGGTCTGCACCAGGGTGTGGCCACTGGCGTTTGGCTCAGGAAGCCGCACAGAGCCAAGGATTAGGGCCAACTCCTTGCGGCAAAAATGACTCCAAAGCCAACTAAACCAGTGAGAGGAGAGGGACCTGCCTAAGGTCACACAGCAAGACAGTAGCCTTCTGGGTGTGGAACACAGAGCTTCTGAGAGTTGAAGGTTTTTCCCAAAAGACACACCGAGTGCCCTGTGGTTCCAGATCCGCTGCTCAGATTGCTGAGTTAAAGGAGGCTTGGCCGGCACAGTTCGCCCCATCTCCTAAAAGTACGGAGGACGAACCAGCAGATTGTCTAGGCCAGGAGAGTGGAGGTTTTTGGGGGGAGAAAGGGGGTGTCCCCCCTCTCCGAGTTTTCCTGTTAATTTTCAGGGCAATCGGTGTGCGTAGAGATTGGAAAAGCCGAGGTCACCATGGACTCTCGCTTCGCCTCGCGGGCGCCTTGGCGGAGCGGGTGTCGGGGGCGGGTCGGTGGCTTCGCTCCATCTGCAGAAAGCATTGGAGGTTTTTGGGGGAGAAAGGGGGTGTCCCCCCTCTCCGAGTTTTCCTGTTAATTTTCGTAGAGATTGGAAAAGCCGAGGTCACCATGGACTCTCGCTTCGCCTCGCGGGCGCCTTGGCGGAGCGGGTGTCGGGGGCGGGTCGGTGGCTTCGCTCCATCTGCAGAAAGCATTAAGGGCCTGGCCTAACGCGATCCGCAAATGTGGTGCTGTTCCCGACCCGGGGCGGCGACTCGGGGCCCTGGGCGGTGCGCCCCGCTTCCCCGCGCGCTCGGCCGCCGCGCTCCCCCCACGGCCACGGCCACGGCCAGGCGCGCGTGTCCTCCGACCCCCAGCGCTGCAGGCGCTGGAGACCCGCGCCCAACCCGCGGGACCTTCGGGCGCTTAAGGCTGCGAGGGGCCATCTGTCCAGTGTCCATCTGGGAAGCCCCGATCCTGAACACCCCGACAGGGTGGGGCTACCTATAATCAAGCGCCCCCCCGACCCTCAGTGGGTCCCCGAAAGGCTCCCCACACCCTGCAGGACCCCATAGAGTGCGCCCACCCCGAAGTGTCAGAGCCCTGAAGGTGCCACAGCCCTAGGACCCGTCCTGTCCCTCGTCGCCACCTTGCTTAGCGAGGCAAGGCTCCGAGGGTCACCATCCCGAGGCGACCTGTCCCTTGGTCCCCGCGCCGGTCCTGCGCACCCACCTTGCGTCCAGGACGCGCAGCCGGGGCGCGCGCGTGGCGAGGCGGCACAGCGGCCCGGGGACAGCACGCGCGGAAGCGGGACCAGGACCTTCCCGACGCCGGCCTCCAGCCCGCGGCGCCGCGCAGTGAAATGGGGCCGGGACGGGGCCGCCCCGCTCCCCGCCCCCTCCGCGGCCGAGCGCTGGCCGCCACCCAGAGGCCGAGGACGCGCGCCGCCCGCCACCTGCGCCGCCCGGCAAGTGCACGGCGCGCCGGGCCCGGGGCGCGAGGGGCGCGGGGACAGCGGCGAGGGGCCGCGGCCACGGCGAGACGCGGCTGGAACGCTTCTCCGCCCGCTTCCTGGAAGCCACTCCTCGCCCGGGCCGGCCGCCAGGCCTGGTGCCAAGAGCCGGGGCTGCCGACGCCGCCGCCGCCGCCGGCAGGCGCGCTGGGGAAGGGAAAGGCGGCCGCTGCGCCTCGGTCCGAGCCAGGTTTCGTGGGGGCGCCGCGCCCCCCTCCCCGCCCGGCACCCGGCACCCGGCACCCGCCGACGCGGCAGAGGCCACGCGAGGTCCGGCCGCGGCCGCCACGCGCGCCCGGAGCCCTAGTGCTTCCCGCCAAGCAGGACCCAAGTAGGGACCGCGGCCTCCTCCGCTGCCCAAGGTGCCGGACACAGACCCCGCACAGGGGCGCCTGGGTGCTTGGCATAGGACATGGAAACTCCACAGCGTCCAGGACGGAGATTTGGGATGGAGTGTCTGTATCAGGCACAGGCTGGGGTGAGATGCCTTGGGGACTTCTGGAGGAGTCCAGGGAACTTGGTCTTGGCTTAATCTCAGCCGTATAAGCCAAGGGCCACTCGGCCCCAGGCAGCATCTCCTGATGCCTCTGCTGCCGGCCCAAGCTCTGTGTCTCCAGGCTTTATGGGGCTCCTGGCATTAGTGAGTAACCTCACCCCATTCTCCCCAGCTCCATCGGAGACTGGAGGGAGTCGGGAGAGGATAACTCCCACGGTGAGTGGAGAGGCCAGGACCGGGACCGGAACTCTGTCCGCTTCTCCTAGAGTCTGGATCCATTGTGCATCCCCAAAATTGCTCTCCTGCCTGCTGGGTGGGTGAGGCCTTCCAGATACTGCTGGAGCCGCCCCGCCTGCCCTCCTTATCTGTCCTTCTCTTCCTTACTCTGATCAAGAGACTGTGTCTCCAACCCAGGTTAGTGGCTGGAATCCTGTGGGAAGTGAGCAGGGGACAGGTAAGGTGAAGGAGGTCTAGTCACCATGGAGCGGGGATCGCAGGGCTAAACCCAAACTCACCAATGTAGTTGGTTCCCTGTTGACCACAGTTCTGTAAAGTCAGGCAAACTGTGAAGTTGTCCCCTAGCCATTACTGCTAGGGGAACCAGTTAACTTCCTACAAGCCTCTGGTAGCAATGTTTTCGTGAACCAAGGCACAGATTACCTTACTTTTACTTTGTAAAAGCACCTCATTTGTGAGCTGAGCTCAGGGTGACAGCACAACAGTTCATTCCTGACAGAAGGTCATCTAACACACGGGTTCTACACCCGGCACATCGCAGCCTTGCTCCACTGAGGGACCTGAGAGAAGACTTTAGCACAATGGTTGGGGTTGTTTCAAACTGAAATCATCACCAGAAAAGACAAAAGTGTGAGAGCGTGACAATAGAGAGGACTTTTAGGATACTTGGGGACCTTAGCTAGAACACATACATCGGGTGATGAGATGTTCACCAGTCTTCAAGTGACGTTGAAAGTGTTGCAAGTATTGATGATAGGATTGCAGGAGATGGACTGAAAAGTAAGGAACCTGAAAGCAATGAGACGTGATCGACTGGACTCCTCAAATCAGAGTGTCAATCAACGAACAGTCACATTAACATTGACCTAGACATTTTGTGAATTCACTCAGTCGACATAAACCCACGGCCTAGATTATATTTTTATTCCCCTCTTATAAATGAGGACACTGGAGAAGAACGGTTTAATACCACATGCTGCTAGATTGACTACCACTTCTCAGATCAGTCGTTTTCTAAAACCAGCCATGATACATGATGGAGTTGCTTGCAAAACTTGGATGAATGTTCACCATGAAACTGAGAAATCAAAGAATATTGTTTGTGCAGTGGCAGCTGCATAGCCATCTGCAACTCAGAAAGGCATCAGGACACCTCTGGAGTGGGGGGACATGGCTGGGAATGTGTGAGTGAGTCTGCTCGAAGGTATTAGTGTCCCAGCGGGAGAGAGTGAGTGAGGAGTGCCTCATTTTCCCCTGGGCACTTTCGATTCCTGAGTCAGCCTCCAGCAGTGTCCCACACTAAGTCCTGATGCCAGAGCTGAGCTTTCTCTCCAGCAAGTCCCACAGAGCATCAGTTGCCCCACAGAGAGAGAAGAGAGAACATCACCCAGTTCGGCCTTCCTGTTACCCCTTGCACGTCGAGCAGCCATACCTGCAAGGCTAAGGTACCGTGAGGTAGGATAAGGGCGGACCACAGAGGTCACACTGCACCCGAGAGCCTGGCCCCACCTCACAGATGTCCCAGATTCATGGCCCCCCATCGCTCCCGCTCCCCCTCACTGCTCTGCCCATGTGGACACTGAGTCTTCCGTCAGCCCCATCCCCCTCTTCCCTCCCACTCTTCTTCCCTCCCCTGCGCGCTGGACATTGCCAAAGGCAGGGCTGAGAGAGCTTGGGAACGAGAAGAACAGGAATTGATGAATCCCAAGAAAGCCAGCCTGGCTGACCCGACTTTCGAATGATACTACCCAGCTCCAGGGGAGGACAGGCGCCTCCCTGCACAGCTTGTGGCTACCCTCCTTCATTCCCCGGGGACAACTCCCTGACTCTGAGGTCTAGGAAGTCAAGCTCATTTCCCGGCCAGATGCATCTCCTAGGGAACCAGGTGCTGGTTCCCACCGCCTGTCTCAGGACCCGCTTCCTCCTGTGCGAATTTCAGGGATTCCCACCCCTACTGTAGGCCCATGTTGGCGCAAGCATCATGCACACAAGAGACATGCTGGAGAACCTGGTGACGGTGGAGTTGGGGTATTACGTGTGTGTTTTACCATAAGAGAGAAGAAAGGTCAGTTCAGAGCATCAACCATGGTTTCTTCTCCATGCGGAATTGTTCTGTTTGCAGGATCGTGAGGCAGATTTGGGAAATGGACGGTTGGAGGCTTGGAGGCAAATCCTATAGAAGGCACAGTTGATCGCAATAGGCTCACAGCCAAAGTCACTGGGAGATGACAGATCAGGTGTTGGATGACATGGGGCCCAGGGTTCTTTAGCACAAACCTGGAAGGGAGTGAGGCAAGCAGGACAGAGAAGGAACAAAAAAGTGACCTGCAGCTCACACCAAGTTTAGTTCTTGGGGATCCTTGGGGACCCTCAAACAGAAACTTCGTGGGTTTGCCCTGATTGGAGTGACAAGTCTGAGCTTTTGTACCCACAAACTAGTCAGTCATTGCCTCCCCTGGGGTTGGGTGGTGGTGTGACCTCCAGGGCTGTTCACAAAGGCACTGAGTGTCTGCCCTTACCTGCTGCGCTCTCACGGGTGGGGTGGGTGTGCCTAATGTAAGGGATGTCAGGACAGGGTGTCCTCATTGGTGACATTGGCCACACATGGCTCCTAGGACATATCCCCAGCCCCACATGGGAGTCACACGCACCCATCTTCCTCAGAGTCCTTCAGGTCTTTACCTGGCAGCCCTTCTGCCTCACAAGCAGAAGGAGCCCTTGGGGACGGTGTCTGACAGGAGGTGATTCCACTTGGCGAGTGACCCCGTGTGCTTTGGCACAGCCTCGCTCTTGGTTTTTCCCCTCCGCCTGCACTGAGGAACCCCCGGGGGTCTTGAGGTGCCAGATCCATGATTTTCAGTGGGGAGCTAAGGACCTGGGACTGTGACAGCCCTTGGAGGGTAAACAGACCAAAATCTCTGTCAGGAGGGTGAGGGAGGTGTTGGACTGTTTCTGTCTAGAAAGTTCCAAATCTTGGAGGCGGGGCAGGGAAGGTCCCTGTGCTGTGAAGAATGGAGCTGGGCTTTGGTGCTCCTTCCAGGACCAGCAAACTTTCCAGGCCCCAGCCCAAAGGCTGGCTTCCATCTGGCCTCCAGGGCTGGGAAGGTGCTGCCCTGGTTCAGTGCTGGGTACAAGTTCCCCGCAACGCACACACACAGACATGCACACACCCTGAAAATCCCTCACACAAACACCCACATGCGTCCACAGAGACTCCCCTGTGGAGCACCTGGGAGAGCAGATGGCTGTGCCTTAGAACTCATCCTACTCCACCCTGACTAGATCTTTGTCTTCCCCTCCTAGGCACAGGTGGCCACAGGGGTCAGCAAACCCAGTTCTGATCCAGATGGGGAAATTCAGAATAAGCCATTTCGCTGGCTGAGGGTCAACTTTTCCCTTCAGTTGTCAAAGTGTAAACCTCAGGAGGTTCCAATCATCCCTTGTGTAGCTTGGAGATTTTCATACTTTGTAAAACCATAACAATACCTCTTTGGTTTGGATGTGACTTGTCCCCAAGGGTTCAGCTGTGACAGTTTGATGGTAGGAATGAGGGGAGCCTAAATCATGGGGTGCTGCCCTTGGGAGGGGTCCAGGTGGACCTGAAGTTAGTTATCATGATAACTGAGTAGTTATAAAAGCAGGACAGGGCCAGGCATGGTGGCACATGTAGGTTCAAGAAATCCAGTTATACTGGTATAGTTTAGCCAGTGACTAAAAGTGACCTGAGAACATGTCACAATACAAGGAGATTCTTTAACGAAAACTACTGCATGAACTGGGCGCTAGGGGCTCATGCCTGTAATCCTAGCTATTGAGGAGGCTGAGATTGGAAGGATCTCAGTTTGAGGCCAGCCCAAGCAAATACTTCTCGAGACCCTCTCTCCAAATAGCCAGAGCAAAGTGGACTGGGTGTGTGGCTCAATGAGTAGAGAGCCTGCTTTGTAAGTGTGAAGTCCTGAGTTCAAACCCCAGTCCTGTCCAAAAAAAAAAAAGTTCTGGGAGGTGTAAGAACAGGAAGTTCTAAACTCATAGGGCAGAACAGCACCAAATTCAGTCTTGGGGATATTAGAGGTCTCTTAGGAAAACTAGTA